GCGGGAGGCAGCTGATCGATGTTTCTCTCTCATCGATGTTTCTAACTATCTGTCCCTCTAGCCTTCCTCTCTGTGAAAAATCAATAAAATATGTTTAAAAAAAAAAAAAGTTGAGATAGAATTCACATGCCAGGAAATCCATCCCTTTAAAACACAGTTCAGTGGTTTTCAGTGTATTCCTGAGTTTGTGCAGCCAGCATCACCCTCCAATCCCACCTCATCACCCCAAAAAGGAGCCTGCGCCCACCTGCAGCCACGCCCCTTTCCTGCTAGTCCCTGGCCACCAACTCTAGGGCAATCACAGGGTCACTGACGTCAGGGTTTAAACTCAACTCTAATTCACGCCAACCCGACTCCAGCTCCCACAACGATCCCTCATGCCTCGGGCGGCACACAGCCTCAGGACAGGAACCCTCATCTACGGATTCCAGAAAACAAGTTTGGCTCGCCTTCCACAGCGCCTGACTGGATCACCACACACCTCCACCGTGTGGCACCCCGCTGGGAGCCCTGGCGGGGGGGTTTGAGACCCTGAGGGTGGGGGCCGGTGAGGAACAGCGGGGAGTCCCAGAGCCGGCTTTGCAGTTACTCTGAGAGTCCGTGACACCCTCCTTTCCCCCTTTGCCGGCGACTTCAATGTGGGAGGCTGGTGCATCCCAGTGCGGGAACGAGCCCTTGGCTAGCTCAGTTCTGCTCATTCTCTCGTCTGCTCAGCCACTTCCCAGAGCCTCCCCTGGGCTGGCTCTGACTGGGAGTGGGGGCGAGGATACGGAGTCAGACACTCAGGGCCCTTGACCTCACGTGGGGGGAGAGGCAACAGGGGAACAGTGACGAGCGCCCTGCAGAAGCGCCCTGAAGGAGAGAAGCCGGGCACAGGCACCTGACAAAGGCTCATGGGGACTCTTTTAACTACAGGACGGGCTCGTGGTGACATTCAAGCCAGGACCTGACGGAGGAGAGGGAGCCACCAGGCCCAGGCCCAGGGCAGAACCTCCAGGTAGAGGCCTGAGGTGGGGAGGGAGGTATGGTCAAGGCAGGTCGGGCTGAGGCACGGCCAGGCAGTGGGACGGCGTGGGCCCTGGTGCACGTGACAGGAGCTCAACATCGTGCAGGGTTTTAGGACACGGACAGACCAGGCCCCGCTGATGGCCTAACATTTGATCTCCCGGAAACTTTGCTGTCTGTCACTTTTATAAGAAGCAACCCTTGCCCTGGCCGGTTTGGGCCAGATAACTGGAGCCTTGTCCCCTACACCCTTCTGTACGGTTCCTTATCCACTGAGCCCAGATCCTGCTCTCATCTCCCAGGATGGCGGGGTGAAGGAGACCTCAGCAAGAAGGCATGTCCTCTGCTCCTACCCTGGCCGCTAAGTCCTGGTAATGCCACCTCATTCTCAACACAGGCCTTCCCTCTCTACCAGTAGGATAAGAGAATACACGCAGTTGTTGATGGCAAATGCCTAGAGAAGGCCCTCAAAAAACCCTGAACTCATAGGAAATGAAAGAAAAATAAAAAATAAAAAAGCAGCCCAGCTGGTGTTGCTCAGTGGTTGAGTGTCATTTCATGCACCAAGAGGTCACCTGCTGCTTCCTGGTCAGGGCACATGCCCAGGTTGTGGGTTCGATTCCCAGTAGGGGGCGTGCAGGAGGCAACCACTGGGCGTATGTTTCTCTCTCTTCGATGTTTCCATCTATCCCTCTCCCTTCCTCTTTCTCTAAAATAAAAACAAATTAAAAAAAAAAAAAAAAAAAAAGCAGAACCCACCGAGGCCTTCGGGGTTCACGGCCCAATTTCCTGTGGCACACGCTGACATGTGAAATGATTACATTTCAGCGGGAGACACAAGAAAAGTGAGCTTATCAGGCTTTCCTTCCTCAAACTGTCGCAGAAATGACTCAGCTCTAACTCTCCGATGTGCCGAGCAGCAGCAGGGACCCCGGTGACTGGTACGGACAGTGCGAACACTTCCCTGCCGGTGCCGAAAGGAGGCTGTGTGCCGGGACACGGCTCAGTTCACTCCAGGTTCAAGAAAGACTCCCCCCGGCACGGCTGAGGCGAAGAAGGCTCCCTCCGAGCTGCACACAGAGGGCACATGCCAGCGGGAGGACCTGCTGTGGAGGCTTCTCCAGCTGTTCTCAGAGGTCCCTCCTCGTCCACACCACAGCTGGAGAGGCTGGGACGCTAACGGGAACAGAGCACTCTGTTCTCTAGAAAGAGAACTCTTATTTAAAAAAAAAAAATATATATATAATATATATATGTATATATATATTATATATATATATATTTTAAATAAGAGTTAAATATATATATTTATTGACTTCAGAGACGAAGGGAGAGAAAAAGAGATAGAAACATCAATGATGAGAATCATTGATCAGCTGCCTCTTGCACGCCCCCTACTGGGGTCAAGCCCACAACCCAGGCAATTGCCCTAGACTGGAATCGAACCCAGGACCTTTCAGTCTGCAGACCGACGCTCTAGCTACTGAGCCAAACTGGCTAGGGATGGAAAGAGGACTGTTGCTACTTAAGATGGTGCTGCTTTCCCTGGATACCTGGTAGCAAGGTGAGTCAATCCTTTGATTATTCCCACCCTCCAGCTACTTATTCAGACAAGAGCACGCCATGATATAAACCTGACCAATTACACAAAGAAGATAGACTGAGTGTGTGTGTGTGTGTGTGTGTGTGTGTGTGTGTGTGTAGGACCGGTAAGGGGGTAGCACAAACCCAAGATAGAGAAATCAATCATTCTAGTTGTTCTAATTACGGACTCCACCAACTGCAGCTGGAAGCATCTGCGTGCTTTCTCTGCCTCTTACGCCATCCAAGACTATAAAAGTTGTGCAACTTAAAAATTCAGCTGAAAATCCAAGAAGTTTCAAACCGCTGAGCTGAGCAAAACCCAGCCAACAGCTGTCCATCACTGTCCATTTGAAGAACAGACAGCACAGTGCGCAGGGGGTAGTGGCCCCGAGGTCAAGATGAAGAGTTGGCAAGTCAAGTTAGTTTTCCTGACCACTCTCTGATCCAATCTAAAACGTGAACAAACCTGCCCTAGCTGGTTTGGCTCAATGAATAGAGCGGCAGCGGGTCCTGGGTTCAATTCTGATCAAGGGCACATGCCTGCATTGGGGGCTTGATCCCCAGTAGGGGGCATGCAGGAGACAGCTGATCAATGATCCTCTCTCATCATTGATGTTTCTATTTCTCCCTCTCCCTTCCTCTCTGAAATCAATGAAAATATATATTTTTAAACAGGTGAATAGGCCTGAGTCTCATTAACCCTGAGCCACCCAGGCTGCTGCTGAATGGAGGTCCCCCACCCGGCTCTCCCCAGGGTCTAGGCACGCGCCAGGCCAGGCCACAGCGAGCAGAGCGCTTCTCAGAAGCCGGGGGCAACTCCTGTGGGCAAAACGGGTTCGGAAAGCAACACTCACGTAGGGGGAATAGAGCTCCCCGGTCTCCGTGATTTCACCCGCCATTTCCAAAAGCCAGGAAGGGAGCGCCGGCGGGGCGGGGCTTTCCTCCTGGCGGGGGCGGCGGCAGCTGCGGCTCCCTAAGGCGAAGAGCAACGTCAGCTCTCGGACGGACCTCGCCGGAGGTGGGGCCGGTCTGCAGACCCCCCTCCCCCCCAACTCATGGTCTCCACGTCGGTCACAGGCAGCCGGGTATCCGGGATGACTCCCACCTGGCTGCTGATTCCCGGCCGTGCAGGCAGGGACGTATCCCATGCCGCTCGGACCCCAAGTCATAGAAGAGGCCTTGGAAGCCACCAGCCTCACCCGCCCCCAGCGCCCCCAGCCACACCGGGACGCTCGCTCCCCACTGAACGCAGGGACAGCGGGCTCACTACCGCACCGGGCAGCCCAGTCACTGTCTGCCTCCTCCGCCTCCTTCCCCAGGCCGCCCTCCAACCCAACTCCTCGCCTCCAAGCCTCTCCTTGGAATGGGGCCTCCACTTGCTGCACCCCTGACCTGCTTTCTGCCCTCCCTGCCGTAGGGCTCCCCACCCTCAAGCCTCCCCCTCTTCTCAGGAGCCCCCGTTCCGAGCCTCTCCCGGACTTCTTCCTCTCTCCCTCCCTCCCTCCAGAGAGAACCCGGAATCCGCGCCGCCCCGGCCCACCCACGCCGCGCGCGGCCCCTTACCTGCGGCGTGGCGCGCTCCGGGCCGCCGCGGCCGCCGCCTCCAGCCCCCGGGCAGCTGCCGGCGCCAGCTGTCCCGCACCCGCGCCCACAGCGCCCTCAGCGCGCATGCGCCAGCGCCGGAGCCCACCTGGCCGGCGCGCGCCCGGGGCGGGGCGCCGCGCGCTGATTGGGCGCCTCGTGGGGGCGGGACCGGAATTGGGCCTCGGCGGCTGCCGTCTGCGTGGCGGAAGTGGGCGTGGCGTGCGCCCGGCGGCGGCCGGGCCGGGAAGCGGGGCGAGGGCGAAGAGGTGGCTCCCACGTTCTCCCAGGGACGCTTTCGTGGCGGGGGAAGTGGGTGTGAGCTTGGCCGCCCGGGGACCCCGGTGGCTGGGGTACGGGGTGAGGGTTCCGGAGAGTATCCTGTAGCTCCGCCCCTAGAGGAGGGGGCTGAGAACCGGAGTTCGCCCACCCTGAAGTGGCCTGGAGACCGGGCTTGGGAAGTGGGAGACGGAGGGCCGGAGGCCAGGAGGGTGATTGGAAATAGGTTGAAGGGCTCGGCTGGAAATTGATCCTGGGGCGGGGTCTCAGGACTGGGCGAGTGATGGGAGCTTTGGGTTAGAGGCCTCGAAGGTCTGGGAGGTGGGGCGGAAGGAACCCGCAGGAATGGCAGCCCCGTCTGGGCTCTTTAAGATGCCAATCAAGGATTGTTTCGCTATCTTTAGCCGGCCAGCTGCTTTCTCGCAAAGGGTTTAGAGCCCCTGTTCTCTGCAGTCTTTCCACGGAAAGGACATCTCGGCCCTGGAGGCGGCGTTCAGTGTGATGAGAGCCTGGGCTGAAGTCTTTGCCCTCCCCACCCTCAGGCTGCTACCATGAGGTTAAATCAGAACGTCTCGCTCCTGGGGAAGAAGGTGGTGCTGATACCCTACACCGCAGAGCATGTGCCCAGGTAACCTCTCCACCTGCCATGGGTGCCAGGTAGCTCTCCAAGATGCAGCCCCAATGTCAGAGGCTCTCCTCTGAGGAGAAGCATTGGTGTGCGAGGTAATTATGTGCAGAAAAAAGTGAACAGTGAAGCCAAGTTCCCTTTTGCCCTCTCAGCAAGGAATTAGTTAATGCACACTAAATGTAAGAACAAAATTGTCTTTCTCGCCTGATTGTGAAGTAGTGACATTCCTTTGGTGCCAGTGGAGATTCTGTTCTTGGAGACTTTAAGTTAGCTTGTCATACAAGCTGATGAGGTGGTTTGATGTCTCCTGTTTTAAAATACTGAGCTGATGAGGTGGTTTGATGTCTCCTGTTTTAAAAGGCTGGGACTGAGTTGCAGGGTGGGGCTATTTGGAAGGCAGTTGGGTAAGTCTGATAGACTGGAAGGGTGATGGTATAGGGATGTATTCTCTACTTGTAACTTTTTTTGGGGGGGATTCCCTGTGCCCAGCCTTTGTGGATATCTGTCCAGCCTTCTTTGCAGTGGTCGGTTTGCCATATTCTTTCCATCAGGAATTCGAGGAATGTTTGGCTTTATAGCACTCCCCACACTGACCCCCGAGACAGGATGGGAAACTGGACAGATAGAACTGACCCCTCCTGCTGCTCTGTTGTCGGTCTTGCCTGCCTCTAGGTCTTGGGGCTTCTCTGAGCCCTTGAGTAGCTGATGGGGTTCTCTTTTCTACCCTCTTTCTTCATCTCACAGTGTCAGACCCCGTGTTCCTGAATCAGTCCTGCCTGCTGAGGCCACCCCTCTGCCCCTGCAGGTATCACGAGTGGATGAAATCAGAGGAGCTGCAGCGTTTGACAGCCTCCGAGCCGCTGACCCTGGAGCAGGAGTACGCGATGCAGCGCAGCTGGCGGGAAGATGCGGACAGTGAGAAGCCAGACCCTGGGCTGGGCGGGGCTGGGCTGGCAGCGGGAGGGCCCCTCCCATTCTTTCCCAGCTGTAGCCCTGCAGAGACCTGGGAAAAGCCTGATGCCACTGAAGCTGGTCCCTGTGGCGGACACCCTGGGCCAGGCCTGGGAGGATTTAGAGGAAGTATTTTGGGCTGTGGTTGTAATTGAGGGCCTGCCCCACACATCCTTTGCTGGAAGCCCGGTGTGATTACTGCTCTTCTTGGAGTCCCCTGCTGTCTGAAAATACACTTTCTGTTCGGAGAAGGCCACCATTTCCTGCAAGAGGCAGATTTAGGGCTTTTTAATTAGCTGCTGGAAGCTCTGGCCCCTTTCTCCTGCCAGACTCAGCGACGCTGGTAGCTGGCTCTCTGGCGTGGGCAGGGAGATGGCCTCACGGGGTGTGCCCATGACCCTGTGCCTCCCTCCTCAGAGTGCACCTTCATCGTGCTGGATGCAGCCAAGTGGCAGGCCCAGCCTGGCAGCACCGAAGAGAGCTGCATGGCGGGAGACGTGAACCTCTTCCTCACAGATCTCGGGGACCCCACTTTGGGAGAGATTGAGGTCATGATCGCAGGTTCGTTTCCTCCCTCTGGGCCTTGGATCTGCTGAACCTTAAGGCAGCCGAGGCTGCCTAGGGGCCTCCAGGGCTCAGTGGGAGGCTCTGGCATTGGGGAGCCCAGCACCTGGCTGGGGCAGACTGTTAGCCTATGGGTCACTCTGTTCCTGTCTTATGCGTAGGTGTGAACCCAACCTTTGGACTTAGGGTCTTCGAACTTCACTCTGCCCTGTTTTGGGGGTGGTCTAGGGGATCCTCTAAAATAGTTGATCTTCCCTGGAGCATCTCCCCAGGCTGTGGGAGGAACCCCTCCAGTTTCTGTGTCCTTCTTGGTCCTTAGCCTTCTCCTAAGAGGCTGTGCGACTCCTCCTAAGGCAGCACGTTGAGGTTAAAGGGTCAGCTTTTGGGGTCAGGTTGCTGGGTGTCTCCACTCTGAGACCTTGGGCAAGTCATTTGCCTTCTGCGTGCCTCTGTCCCTCATCTGCAGAATGGGAATAACGTTCACGGACTTGGCAGGATTGTGAGGGTTAAATGAGATCCCCTGTGTCGTGCCTGGCACACAGTGACCACGATTGTCGTTTTCTCCTAGAGCCCAGCTGCAGGGGCAAGGGCTTCGGCACCGAGGCCGCGCTCATGATGATGTCCTATGGTAAGGAAGCCAGAGCAGACCGCGGGGAGGTGGCCAGGCCCCAGGCGAGGGCTGGCGCATGTTGGGAGCCAGGGGGGAGTGGGGAAGACGGTGACAGGCGCCTCACTGCACGCTGGGACAGGTGGGGCGGAGGGTGTCGGAGGGACCTTCCTCCTGCAGCTTGTCCCTTTCTGATCTCTGAGAGGAGTGACCAAGCTAGGTCTGACCAAGTTTGAGGCTAAAATTGGGCAAGGAAATGAACCGAGCATCCGGATGTTCCAGAAGCTTCACTTTGAGCAGGTAAGGATGAGGCTGGCTGGAGGTGAAGCCTGGGTCTGGGTGGTGGGGCCGCTGGTGCTAGAACTTGTGGCTGTAGCTTAGATCTCTCTGGCTGTCCTAGGTGGCTGTGAGCAGTGTCTTCCAGGAGGTGACACTCAGGCTGATGATGAGTGAGCCGGAGCGGCAGTGGCTTCTGGAGCAGACCAGCCACGTGGAAGAGCAGCCCTATAGAGAGGGGTCCTAGGAGCCGGCTGAGAGCCCAGCACCAGGAAGTGGATGGACTGGCCGGCCCTCTCCAGGCTGGGGATCTCTCAGGGCCCTTCAGACTCGGGGCAGGACTTGCCTTGACCTCCCCCCTCAGACTGGCAATGGGCCTGAGCGACTCCAGGGAGCCCCTCCTGGCCAAACCTGCACTTAAGACTCAGAACCTGGGGTGGACGGCATGAGTCCACAGGAAGCGGCGCGGCAGAGCAGAGCTGGAGATAACGGGGTGGGGAGGAGCCTGGTGAACAGGCCGGACTTCCCTTTTCCTGGAAGGCCAGCGGTGCCACTCTGGGCCATGGCCCTGGCCTGAGTAAAGTGCACTGCACAGCCAGCTTTCCGTGCCTCACTGCCCGCAGCCTGGGTGGAGGTGAGCTGTCAGGCCACCTGCAGCATCTGTCCCGTCCAGCACGGGAGCGACGGGGCAGCTCAGTCCTGTCATCCTGTGCAAGCAGGCTGGGTGTGGCCCTGAGAAATTAGGAAACGAATGAGGGTGGCCCTGGCCCTGTAGAAGGCCTAGTAAATGGGTGAGAATCCTTGCTCCCCTTCTCTTTGGAGCCAGTTTTGAGTAAATTAGTTCTGGGTACAGCTCCTTATGGCTGGAGGGCACCCCTCTGCTGAGTTTGAGGCCTGAAGGCCCCTGTGTCCTACCTGCCTCCGTCCCTCCACCTTCGAGAGCCGCTGCACCTGTCAACACCACAAGGGGGCGCCAGAGGTACCAGTTAGGGATGGCATGGCTGCCCGGCAACCTGTGCTTAACAGAGCTGGGTCACCTCAGAGCAACGGGGACACCCATTGACTTCTATCTGTGCCCAGGCCCTCCCTGTCATAATCTGCAGCAGTATCAAGGAAAGAGCCAGGTTTCAAAGCACAGTCATGGAAGAGACTCGGGAGGGCACGTGGGGCATTTTCAAGGGTAGGAGCCCCAGCGAGTTCAGACGGCTTGCCTAAGGCCTGGGCTTTGACGGCAGAGTCTGAACTAATGCTGAGGCCTCTCGGTTCGGTTCTCTTGATCCTGTAAAAATAGAACCTAAAACATACCTGAAACCGAGACAGAAACTCCACTTGCCGGGGCCCCCTTTATTACCAGGCCTCCAGCCCCACATCTCTGGTTCCCTCAGCCACCTGTCCCTAGGGTTCCCCACCCAGTAGGTGACCTAGCGGGGCAGTCCTCTGGGTCTCCACCGGGGGTCAAAGCGCAGAGGCAAGGGCGGGGGGCTGAGCAGGGCCTGGGGCGACTGGAGGGAAAGGATTTTGGCCCTAAACCCAAACAAGAGGACAAGATGGCCAGTGACCGGCTCTTCTCTCCACAGGCCCCCTACCGGGTTCACGGTCTCCCTCCTCAGTCCAAGGAGCCTGGCTTCGGAGGCTTCCTGGTTGGGTGGAGAGTTGCCTGGGGCCAACTCCCTTCCTTCTCTCTGAGCACCTGCCCCGGGAGCTCCTGGCCCGGCAGCCAGCTCTCTGGCCACCTGGCAGACCTCCAGGGCGCGGCTGCCAAAGCCAGAGGCATACTGGCCCTGGGTCTCCAGGAGGAACAGGGCCCTTCGCCTTTGGCAAGTCCATGCACCCACCTGCCACAGGGCATATCCTGGGGCCCCGGAGGGCCGTTTGTTTTCGCCTTGGCCTGGGAACTGCCCTCCAATCAGGGCCAGATAAGAGCATATTGGCGCCAGCTCAGGCCACTCCCGGGAATCCTGCACCCCATCGGCTGAGGGCGGGAAGATGAAAGCCATCGGCTTCCCTTTCCCAGGCAGGCCCCAGCGGGTCATACCCCCAAAGCTCCTGGACTCAGGAAGGCACGGCGTCCTCAGCACGTGTTCTGGGCCCCTAGTTCCTGCGACCAACATGCCTGTGCAAGCTGACCACCAGGGAAGCACCTGGAACTGGTGGGTGGGGCCACCAGACAGTTACAGACAGGCCCAGGCCCCTCCCTCAGCCAGAGGCCAGCCTGGGAACACAGGTTTGCCGTCTCAGGCCAGGAGGACAGCTCTACAGAAGACACGGAGGCTGAGGCGTTTGCAGAAACCAGTGAATTTCTGGTGGAGTTTCCTTACAATGGTGTTGCCTGGCTCAGGGCTGGCCAGGGAGTGGCCACACCCTCCCCCCACCAGCCAGGGCTTCTGCGGTGGGAGTAGAAACAAAGTTTAAGGCTGAGGCGCTGCTATGTCCTGGATGCAGCAACCTGGAAAATCATGTTAATCAGGAGACAAAAATCCCTCTACTCTGCACTCAGAACAAAACGAAACAAACAAAAATGAACAAAAATAAGATACCCAGCCCATAGCGCTTGAAATGCTGTGGCCGATGCAATCCCAGTCCTTGATCAATCAAAGTTATTGAGAAGAATCACATTTGCCAAGAGGCGGCTGCTGGTGCTGATTTGTTTGCCATTCGGGGGTCAGTGGGGAGGGGGTGGGGGGTGGGGGGTGCGGGCCCAGCCCTGCCAGCTCGCTGGGTGGCGCGGGGAGGAGCTCAGAGGTTACTGAAGAGTTCGTTTTTCTTGCTCCAGTCCATCTGCGGGGCCCGCTTGTTGCTGCGCTTCTGGTGGGCCCTCTCCTTGGCCACGGCCAGGGAGATGTTGAAGTCTGGGATGGGGTCGGAGGAGGAGGTAGATGAGGGTGCCGCGGAGTCCTGCTTCTTGGGGCTGTCTTGGGAGTTCAGCTGGAGGGAGGAGGAAGGCAGAGCAGGAGTCAGTGCCAGGCGAGGCGTCCGGGTCCTGCCTCGGAGAGGTGGCTCCTTGGGGCCGTGCCCGGGGAAGCCAGATCACAAGAACAGAACGTGGCTCAACATGTGACCTCCGAGGCAGGCTGGCGTGCCAGGCACCGGCGTGGCCCGAGAACGGGGTGCCACCAACCCAGTGCCGCCCGTTGCCCACCCGCCGGCCTACCTCTTCGCTGGTGTCACTGGAGGTGGATCGTGCCAGGGCTCGCCTGGGGCTCTCGGAGGCCACCTCGGCCAGGGCTTCATGGCTGTTCTCCTGGCAGAGAGGACAGGTATGGGTTGGTGGGGGGTGGGTTGGGGAAGTCCTGAGCAGGAAAGGGAGGTTCCAGGGAAGACAGGTGCCTGTCAGAGAACCAGCTACCCAGAGCCCAGGGCCTGAGCCTGCCCGCGGCCCCCGGGGATTTCCAATGTTACATTCCCCCAAGGACCAGAGGGGAGCCTGGGTGCAGGCTGGGAGGGCCACCCGGGGATTAGCTGAACTGCCCGTTCCCAGTCCTCCCAGGGGGGCCCTCAGGCCTGCCTGCCTTTTGGACCAGTGACCAAGGAGCGGTTCCTGGGGCGTGGGAAACCCCGTGATGCTTCTTGAATCTGTTGCCCACATCATTAGTTGGATTTGACCCAGTAATCTTAAAACTAACCCAAAGCAGCAAAAAGGGCTCTGGAGTAGGGAGTAAAGTGCATGAGATTCTACACCCCAAATGGAGTGACAGGTGGTCCAGGGACACCCTCCCCCGCTGTGCCCCTGGGCAGGGAGACTGAGCAGACCCTGCAGAGAGCCTTGGTGATCAGTGTACCCCAGAGCGAAGGCCTTGGCTAGGCCTTCAATTGGCGCTCAGCCGCTGCCTGGTTCCTGGGGCCCGGGCTGGCACCGGGCCCTGCCATCTCGGCTCCGGCCTCCACCGCCTTCCCTTCCCTTCTGCTTGGAAGGAGGAGGCGCGGGGGCTTTGTTCTCCCAGCCCAGACTGGAAGTAGCCGGGCAGCAGGCGGCCAGACACTGCTGCTCTGTTCTTGGGGGGAAGAATGGCCTCTTCTGTGTGGGGGACTTGGAGGCGGGGCTTGTCCCCAGGATGGCGGGGTGCAGAGGGGCGTGCCAGGCCTCTCCTTGGTCCCAGGCAGGGGTCGAGGGCACACAGTAGGTACACAGTGTGGACTCGGGAGGGAGTAGCTCAGAAATGAGTTAACCTGGGCCAGCTGGCTGTCCGCCCAACCACACCCCCTTCCCCCTCCTCCCGCAGCCCCAGCCTAGGAGCCAGAGAAGCAGTTAGGGGTTCACCTTTACCTTCTGGATCTCCCCATTGGTAAAGGGCTCGGGCAAGGGACCTAGTGAAGGGAAAAAGCAGAGGTGAGTCCAGATCTCTGGGCATGCGGGCGGGTGGGGCGTGGAGAGGGCGAGGAGCGGGGCTGGTCAGTCTCTCACTGTGAGCGCGGCCTTCTGGTGCCCGGCGCAGCCTGTGCAGGAGTGTGACAGGTTCCAAGACAACCCCACACCCACCTTCCCTCGGCCTCACAATGCTCACTGCCGTTTCCTACTCACTTTCCTTAGAAAGAATGTGCTGGGCTCTGCCCACTAAGCCAATCGCATGAGCCGCTGACGGAGAATCAGCTGCTTGAGCAAAGCATTGTCCCGGGATGGGCTGAGAAGGCCGGCGGCCGCCTATGAATCACCAGGGAAACCGGCTCAGAGTAATGGTTCAGGGCTCTGGCCCCGGAGCCTCTGGTCCAGTGGGGCCGAAGCGCCCGGGAATCGGGATGTTCCAAAGGCTTCCTAGGAGACGGCGGTGTCACCGGAACTAGCACCGCAGCCGGGCTGTGGTTAGTGCCTGGTCCTGCCTCAGCCTACTGGCCAGCGCGGACATGACAGGACCAAGGGCTCAGGCAGTGTCCCAGCCAGTGGGAATGGAGGTGGCCGGAGGGGTCAGAGGGAGCAGACGCTGCCTGGGTCACCCCCATGGGCTCACTCAGGCCAGAGGCCCCACGAGGCTGCCAGGGGAGCTGTGCCATCTCTGGGGACTGGTCAGCCTGGGTGGATATCTTCTGAACTTCGCTTAACGTCTGTGTACATCCCCTCACTCCCCGGACCACAGTCTGGGCAGCCAGGCATACCTGACCCTCCCCCTCTCCACCAACCATCTTTCCTGGGAGAAAACACAGAGCAGAGCAGAGCGCTGCTTAACTCCTCCCTGCCCCGCGTAGCAGCCCTGCCCCCACTTAGCAAGAGGCCTGCCAGGCTTGGCAGGGTGACCGTGGGGGTGGGGAGGACAGGGGCCCAGGGACTAAGGGGGACCCACTGCTCTCTCCAGCCAGCAAGCTTGGGTTTCCAAGACAACCTGAGAGAAGGGAGGGGAGGCACGGGGCCCCTGTCCTGGACTCTGATCTGACCAGGCAGCCGCCCCAGAGTTAACCCTTTCCTGGCACCAGCCGTGCCCTGGGATCGTAGTGGGGTAAGAGGCTGATTTCCTTTAGGGCTGCACTCTGGCCCAGGAACAACGGCTCCGGCCCATCTCACCGTCCCTGGTGCCAGCTTACCTGTCATAGGCCATCCTCAGAAACCCAGGGCCGGTCCCTGCTTCCTGTTGATACCAGCTCTGCCCCACTCCCTCCCCACCCCACCCTTGGCCTCCGCTGAAGGAGAGGGTGGGAGCATCGCAGCAGGAAGCTGTCACCCCTCACCTGGGACAGTCACGTCCAGACCATCCCTGCCCTGGGGGCCGCCCGCCACCCGCCCAGCTCACCCTGCAGGTGCTCCTGAGACGGGACCACTTTGCATTTCTTGAAGAACTCATCCGTCTCCTTGTCCACCACCAGCAGCTTGGTCTCCTCGCCGCCAGCCTTGATGGCGGACACCACGTCGCCGTGCTGCTTGCCCTCCATGCAGATGCCGTTCACCTGTGGGCGGGCATGGTTACCAGCACGGCCTCAGCTCTGGGGGCGCAGGGCGAGGAGGCACAGGCGGTCCCGTTCGCCCTCAGCCCGCTGGCAATCCAGGGACCCGGAGCCCCCCTTGCCCATGGAGTCCTGAACGAGGCAAGGGTCCTCCCACTGGATGGTCAGATGGGAGGCAGGACCCGGGAAAAGCCGGGGAGACTGAGCAAACAGCTGGGAAGACGGACGGGCGAGGCCTGGAGCCTGGCTGGGCCCCCGCTTCTCTGCGGACCTGCCCTCGGACTCCCGCTCTGGCCCTGGCCTGCTCCGTGCAAACTGAGAAGTCTCAGAGCAGCTCTGAGGCTCGGAGACTGAGATTCTGGAACCCGCCCGAGGCACTGGTTCACGTTTCCTCTCCGCCGCACAGCCTCCCCGGGAGAAGGATCTGGCCTCGCACCCCGTCCCTGCGCCTGGCGTGGAGGACGCGGGAGGCAGGAAGCTCTGGGGGTGGCCAGGATGTCCACCTGGATCGATGGGTGAATCGTGAACTGCCCAGTGTGTCTGCTCAGCGAAGAGGCACCCGGGGAGGAGGGGGCGGGGAGGAAGTCAGTCCCTTTGCCTACCCACCACCTCTCCTTCTTTCCTGCCCACCATCCCTCCCTCCGGCATCCACCCGTCAGGGCCAACCAAGGAGCCGCTGGGGCGATGGCGGCCCAGGAGCTGTCTGTGTCTGCGGGGAGGGAGGTCGCGGGGATGGAGGCGCCCGGGGAAAAGGAGAGGCATTACCTCAATGATCCGGTCCTGGGCCTGGAGCCCCGAGGCCTCGGCGGGCGAGTCCGGGTCCACGGACCGGATGAACTGGCCCGGCTTGGACTTGTCGCTGTGCAGGTTGAAGCCGTAGCCGTTGGGGCCCCTCTTCATGGCGCAGAGCCGAGGCCGCAGCTCACGCTGTGGGGACAACGCAGAGTCCATGTCGTTCCAGTGTCCTTGTCCCCACTGTCCCTGCCCTGTGCCTGGTGCCGGCTCCACCAGGAAGATCTGATAACAGGCAAATCTGCCGAGATCCCACCCCGCCCCGCACTGGGGAGAAGCTGGCCCAGGGCTCCGGGCACTGCGTGGGGAGATCCCCCCATGGCGGCCAAATGCCTGGGTGACCCCGGGGCTACAGGGCCCCTCCCCGAGCCTCAGTTTCCTCTTCCGCAAATGAGAAGTGGGGACAGAGTAGCTCAAGTCCCTACCCTTCGGACTTTCTGTGGTTAATCATTTTGATTGATACCTTGTCCCTCCTACCTACGGCTCAGCCTGGCCCTGCGGGGTGGGGGGGTGGGGGGGTGGCAGGCGGGTCCCTGGCCTCTGTAAGATGGGAAAACCGTTTTGGTGCCAGAGCTCTGCCCGTGCCCTTTCGTTCGTAGGTGGGCCTGGCCAGGCCGCAGCCACAGCCCTGGGTTCCTCCAGCCCAGCCAGCTTTCCAGGGCCCCTTCCCCTCCCAGCTCCTGTCTGCAGACGGAGGAGGCCGGTGTTTACTGAAAGCTGGCGGCATGTTTACAGTAAAGCCTATCCTCAGTCCCTCACACAGGCTCCTGTCTCTCCCCACCCCACCCCCTGCTCCCCCCAAGCCAAGTGGCCCCTCCAAAGGGAGCTGAGTGGCAATGACCACAGACGGGGGGGGGGGGGGGAGGCACAGCGGGGGTCCTGGACAGGATGAGAACAGCCCCCTACCCCCCCCCCTCGGCAGAGCCATGACTGGTCCAGCAGAGAACAGCAGAGCTCAGAGGTCCCGCTGGTCCCCAGAGCACAGACACCAGCTGGAGCCATCTCCCCTCCTGGGCCGCCTCAGGGGCTGAGCTCGGGGCTGCGGGCCCAGAACACACGGACCTGATGCAGGGAACCGGGGAGAGCGGGCAGGACGCTGACACCGAGTACCGGGGCTGACTTGGGGCTCCTCTCCCCCTGCTCCCAGGCCTGGGGCAGGGTCACTGCAGCCAGCCTGTGAGCTCTGGGTCCCCCCTGGACATCAGGCCAACAGCAATGGCTGAAGTCAAGGCCCTGGGCCAGGTTCCAGCTGCCCCGCTGAGACCTGGGGCAGTGGTCTCCTTCCCAGAGCCCCCGCTTCCTCACGGAGGCAGTCAGCACCCAGGGGACGCCCCACAGCGTACAGTCCCCGGCAGAGCAGACGTTCCCGCTGCCATGAACACCCACAAACAGCCGAACGAAAGCGAGATGTGAGACTCTGGGGAGGGGTGCCAGGTTGCTCTGAAACCCCGGTCGGCAGCTGGGAGTGGCGGTGAGGAGGGATCCCAGGCCACCTGTCCCTGGTGCCAGCCCGGGAGGCTCAGTCCCCACCCCTCACCCAGGGTGACTTTGCCTCTAAGTGCTGGGGCGGATCTTTCTGTGCTTCAGGATGTTGGTGGGGGGTGTGGATAGGCCAAGGCAGGAAGGAGGGCTGACAGTTAGGCCTGTGGGTACCCTAATCTGGGCTAGAGGCCTGGGCCCCCTTTCTCTGAGTCCTCCTCCTCTCCCGTTCTGTGGCAGGGCCCCATTGGCACGCCTAGCTGCTGCCTCTTACCAGGGCCAGCTCAGCCCTCTGGGATCCAGTGTAAGACAAACGCTTCTCCCCTCAAGCTAATCCCTCCGCTTCTCCCCGCAAGCTAATCCCTCTGCAAAGCTGCCTGCACCCTCCCCCAGGCGAGGTGAGCAGAACAGGTCTGACCAGCTGCCGCCACCTGGGCAGGCTCAGCTTTCTGCCCAGCCAGGCTCAGCTCAACTCCACCGAGGCCCTGAGAATATGGCGGGGGTGGGGGGTGGGGGGTGGGGGCGGGAGTGTGAGCAGCTCCCATGTCTCTGCCTCTCCCCACCTGCCCTCCCTCCAAAGAGCCTTCCCAGAGCAATCTGGCCCGGGACGGTCATCCCGGGCTTCAAAGTGGGGAAACTGAGACTCGAGATGCCAAGAACCCCAGCCCTGTCTCTCCCCCCCCCCCCATCTGCAGGCTGGCACCTGAAGACCCAAGTTCAGTCTGGGAGGGGCGCACCCCCTCCCCACTCCGGAGCTGAGGCCTCAGTGGGGGTCACAAGCACCTGAGTCCTCACCCCGAGGTGCCTGCAGCCTCGGCGGGGAGGGGCCTGGGAGCTGCTGAAACCACAGCCTTCCTTCCGGGTGCGCGAGAGGCTCTGGCAGCCAGAGCTCAGCCTGGGCCTGGGACAGGCGATGCCAGGGACAGTGAGCAGGCCCGGGCTGGGCCTGGGCGGGGAAGGGGGCAGCGTGGGTGCTCTCCAGGTTGGCACAGCGGCACGACTGCCCAGGGCTCTGTGTGGCAGGCTCCTGCTCCCCGCACTGAGCCTTGCCCGGTGACCTGTCCTTAGAGCTGGAGGGCCGCACTGAGCCGTGAGGAGGGGAGAAATAAGGGAGCCAGCTGGAGGGGCTCAGGGCCCTGCTGTTCTCTTCCCTCCACTGCCCTCTGGGCAGGCGCCAGGAAACCCCTTCTGAAGCGTCCCACACCCACAGAGCCCCATCCCGCACCCCCCTTCCCAGGTCCCCAGAGGCTCCTTCCTTCCCAGGGCCGGCTGCAGGCTTTGCATTCTTCCCGGGAGACTGGTGTGTCTCTCCCCGCCCCCCTCCGCCCCACCGCTGTCTCCAGGAGGTGTCAGCGCCAGCTGCTGAGTCAGCCCGGCACAGCCTGGGTGGAGGCTGGCGCTGACAGGAGCCCCCAGGGGCAGCCTCCCTGGGGGTTCTGGGGCTGGCTGGGACTGAGAAGGGAAGAGGGAGGGGTCAGGTGCCTGGAGCTTGGCCGTCGTGGCACTGGAGCCTGTATCCCAGAGCTGGGCAGGGCCTGGGGAGAGAAGAAGTGGCCAGGCCAAGCCATCCCCGGCCTATGGTGTGGCCCCAGGGGTTAGGGGGAGCCCTGTGCTGGTGCTTGAGGGCCCAGAGGTGGGGTGGGGTCATGACAAGGGGAACCTGGTCTCAATCAGATCTCAGTGAGGAGACTGGCAGAGACCCGCAGCCAGAGGAAGGACCACAAGGCCATGGTGGCCAGTGGGCTGGGGCGGCGTGAGCCTGAGTCACTTCCAGACCCACTTTCCGGAGAGGACCCTGCCCGGAGACCTGCCTCCAGACTCACAGAGCCATCAGGAGCCCTCAGGTCCTCCGGCTGCTCCAAATTCCGTCCAGCCCCAGCCCGAGTGGCCGCCCAGTCACCTCCACCCCCGCAGGCAGCCCAGGGAGCGGATGGCGGGCACGGAATTCAATAGGCACCACAGCAGCCACCTGGAAAGCTGCGGAAAGTCGATACCCTAATCCCAGTGCCTGTCTCTGGGGATCAGGCCCAGGGGAGGAGGGCTGGGGGGCCGACGCCCCGCTGGGCGGCCCCTCCCTGGCCGGTGCCTTGGAGAACAGCCCAGGTAGAACAGCCAGGCAGCTTCCTGCAAGGGGCGGGCTGCGGAGGGGAGACTACCAGGTGGCTGGGGAACAATAGAGGTGACCCTCACCTCCCAGGGCCGCCCATCCCCCCACCCCGCCCAGCCCCACCCAGCCCCTGGCTCCTGTTTATGCACCTAACAGTGCCCAGCTGCCTCCCGCAGAGAAACAAGCCCCCCCCACGGGCAGTAGAAGGGCCTGGCTGTCCGGGCAGCAGGCAGAGGGTGTGCTGGGCTGAGGAACCCTGGCTGCTCAGTGCTCTTTTGGGTGACGTGTGACGGGGAACATGCGGGCACTGTCCTCAGGGCAGGCCGGGGAGTGGCCAGGAGCTCGGACCACTGGCCAGTGTCCACAGCTCCAGGCTCCCGGATTCTCTCCTCCCCCCAGGAGCGGAGAGGCTTGGCTGCCACTCACTCCTGCCCTGAGGTGGCTCCACTTCACCCCACAGGACCTCCCGTCTGAGGAATGCCGGACACCTCCACTTGCAAAGAGCCAGCTGCTCCAAGCCCTTGACTTTGAACTTCCTGCTGTCTCTCCACGGAGAGGAGCTTCTCCGGAGCGCAGCAGAGTGGGGTCCAGCGGGGAGACAGAAGCTAAAGCAGCGGCCGCTTCCCCGACGCCCCCCAGGAGGGGCCCTGAGCCAGATCCCCCTCTGGCTCTTTCTCCCACTGCCGTCCAGGGGCCCGTCTGAGGGTGAGGTTGGCTCAGGTCTCTCCAGGGCTGGGCAAGGCTGGGATGGAGCAGGCTGGTACGTGGGCTGCTGCCTGGCTGGCCACCGTCCAGGCTGGCCACCCCATGCCCGCGGCCCAGCAGGCACTAGGACTTCATGCGTACTTTCTTGTTAAAACTCAATTGTAACCCTGCAAGGGAGGTGTTCTTGCCCTCATTTCACAGGTGAGGAAACTCAGGTCCAAAGAGAGCAGGCTCCAGGCTCAGATCCAGACCAGCATTATCCAATAGGAATACAATGCCAGTCATCTAGGCGTTAGTTACGAAAAAAACATACCACAGGCCCAATATGGCATCACCCATGCTAATAACCACGGCACCACACCTAGACACACCACCTGGTCTAACTGCAGTTTCGACCTCTCCGAGAAATAGAATCTTAATCAATCAGTCTGGATTTCCGTCACCTGGGCCCTCTCGAAGAGGCAGCGTGCAGGATAAAACCCTTCCCAGAGAAAGGGTGTAGGGCCCCAAATCACCCTTCTTTTGCCAACAGCTCCTTCGCCCCGTCCTTCTTCCTATGAAATCCTTCCCTTTTGCACGGCCCCTCAGCGAGCCTGCCAGCTGCTATTGGGATGAGTCGTTTTATTAAGTGGATGCATTGGGGTTACACTGGTTAATAAATTTGTATCGGTTTCAGGTGTATGTTCGTATAACACGTCACCTGCATACAATTGTATTGTATTCACGACCCCATAAATCACTGAATAAAGCCAGTTTGACCTTCACATTTATTTGGTTGAGTTTTGCTTTTTGACATAGGTAATTAAAAGTTTTCTACGAGCCACATTAACAAGTAAAAAGGAACCAAGAGAAACGAGTTGTAATACCTTATTTTACACATTTCAACACGTAATCCGTTTAAAAGACGATCAATGGGCTATTTTACATCTTTTTAGCTGTACTAGGTCTTCAACACCTGGCATGTGTGCTCACAGCGCCTCTCAATGGGGACTAGCACGTTCCATGTACTAGGAGCCACACAGAGCTGGTGGCTCTGGCCACGGCCTGCTCAGATCCTCACCCATGTGGCTGTCAGCCCCAAACACTTCCAGATCCCCACCCGGGACCTTGTAACAGGGCACAGGGAGAGATGGGAGCTCGGTCGCACAGCAGAGAGCAGCACCTGAGCCTGGACCTCGGGAAAGCCTTTCCTAGGGCAGGAACCTAAGCATTGACTAAGGGTCTGGGGACGCGGTGAGTCATCCGATGCCAAGCGATGGGGAAAGGAAGGCCAAGGCCAAAAGTCAAGACCAGCCTCTGGGGAAGCCCTTTGTACTCCTGGACGGCCCAGAGATAGCAAGGGTGGATTCTAAGGGCCTAGGGTGAAGGTAGAGACTTAGTCACCGGAGGAGGGATGGATGGGTCCAAGGAGTCTGCCCTTTCGGGGCGAGGTGTTCCGTCAGGTGCTTGAAGGACACTGTTGGGGACAGGAGCACCTGGGAGTCCTGGCCCAAAGGGCTCAGCTCCCCGGACCCTTGCAGGGAAGTGGTCCAAGCAGCCTGGATGTGTCCCACTGTGATGGGCAGACACCGCTGGAGAGACAGGCCCCTGAGCACAGCCCAAAGGTATGGCCAAATGGATATGCAGGCGGATGCTGGGATCAGAGTAAGCTTTGTTCCAAGACACTCCCCTGAAAGTAAGAGCCAGGGGCTACCCTAGTGGAGAAAGAGACCCCAAAAACATGGCCTAGAAGGAGGAACATAGACAAAAAGGTCTCACGCCCTGACCATTTCACACCCAAACCCGGTCCCGTCCTCCCAGAAATGAGCAGAGGCTGTGAGGCTGCCAGAAAATTGTGCCCACCCCCCACCTTGTCAGCTGGGGTGCCTGCACCATCTTTGCCTCTGAGGTCAGGGTCAGGTCTGGTGGAAAGCACCCCAAATTGGGCTCTTACACAGCCACACCTCCTCTCAGGGGCTCCGGGTGTGCGTCCCATCTCAGAGACGCAGATGCTGAGGCTCACGGGGAACAATGGACAATCAGGGGCCCGGAGCCAGTGGGCTGGCAGAGCGGACCCCAAAGCCCAGCCCAGACTTCCGGTGTCCTGATTTTAAAATGGAAGCTGCTGGAAGGCAAGAAAAGGGAGTGGGGAAATTCTTCTGGAATTCCAATCTCTGGGTGTGTTGGAGGCTTTGAGGCGTCAACAGGCCCAGGTGACTGGAGTGAGATGACTTAGGACAAAGGTCCCTGCTGGCTGTTAGGCATTTATTCACTAATTCAAAAAATTTGATTGAGCCCCTCCCTGCCCTGAGCACAAGGCTGGGACAGAAACAAATAAGGGCAGGCGTGGCCCGGGGCCTGGCCACGGGGCCTGGCCACGCAGTGATAGAGATCGTAAACAAAGCACCTTCGGAACCTTCGGAACGTGATGGGCAGGCGTGAGGACAGGAGTGGGAGGAGGAGAGGAGAGGCTCCGGGGAGGCCAGTGGCCTTGGGGAGTGTGCCCTGTGGCGAAGGGGCAGGGGGACCAGGCCTGAAGGCTCAAAGGCCAGGCGAGCATGGTGTGCCGGCGGGGAGTTTGGACCTTGGGGTGGACACCGCGGGGAGTGGGGGGAAGGCTGCTTGCCAGGTGGTGACGGGCTGTGGAACGTGATTATCCAACAAGAGACACCCCTACGTGAGCACATACTTGGTGCCAGGTGTGGCTGCCGCTGCCCTTGCCCAACGAGGGAGGCTGATCCAGGGCTCGTCGCCCCATGGATGGGGCAACGATCGCTGTGGAATATTTATTAATTCACACACCACCCACTCGGTGCCAGGCACTGAGCTTAACACACACCCGTAAGTAATCCCCGCAACCCTTCGAGGCAGTTGCTGTCGCCCCCAATTTACATAAGAGGAAGTGGAGGCTTAGGGAGGCTGAGCGGCTGGCGGCCCTGCCAGCACAGAGGAGCGGCTCAGGCCTGCCCGCTCGCCGAGGTGGGTCCATGTGCCCGGCGCCACGCGCAAGGGGTTAGGTCCCATCCTGTGACTGCCCCGCCCTGTGGGTGGAGGGGGAAAAGCCACCAACGAGGGGGGCAGAGCTGAAAGCACACCTCCGCCTCCTTCCACACAGAGCGACAGCCCCCTCACCCTCTGCCCCATCACACGTCCCCTGCCACCCACTCCCCTTTCCACCGAAACGGCCCCACTGAGAGGCCTTTTGGGAAAAATAAGTGAGGATGTTCATGTCACAGTTTTGCAGTGACCGGGTGGGTCAGCTCTAAGTCCACCATGGCAGATTTCATTTAGAAAGTGCTGATTGGCTGAGCACAAGGCTTAATGCCTGGGCCTCAAGGAGCTCAATTCAGCATCCCACAAAGGTGCAAGCACTTCCTGCAGAATACTAGAGGACAGGTGTAATCCAAGGCCCCCATTTCACAGGTGGGAAAAGCAAGGCTCAGGGAGGTTCTGATTGACTTGCTGACCTGAAACCCCAAGGGGCCTGGTGGCGGTGTCCCCAGGACTGGGGACTGGTTCTCCCCGCTAACACGGTGCCCGCAAACCACCTGGGGGACGCGGGTTCTGGGCTGCCCTGAGAGCAGGAAGCCGAGCCTGTGCTTTTCAGATGGCACGGGGGAGGAGGGGCGGCGTGTGCTGGGCCCTCCCACACCCGGGGGCAGCAGCACCAAAAAGGTATTGGGAGGAGCTGGACCTGATGCAACTTCGGGGGTGGGGGCTGCAGGGCGGCGGGTTCCTTGTGCGAGTGCCAAAGTCCAGAGAAAAGGGAATGGCAAATCGAAGCACTCAGCAAAGTGGATTTCTGCCTGGGGCCAGAGGTCACGGGCTCCAGCTCCCGAGTGTCTGACCCCGGGCTGGGCTGCTCCGGCCCCTGCCCCACCCCTGCCAGTGCCTCGCTGGTAATGGCAGGAAGTGGGAGCCTGGTGGCCCTGGCATTCTTGGCACTGCACTCCGCTGGACAGGGCTCTGCGTGACCTCACTTCCGTTACTTCCACGGAACCAGTTGGTCCTCTCTGGCTCCACCTTCTACCTTTAGGCTGAACTGTGCCCTTTCTCTGTCCAGGGGAGGCTCTTGCTGGCACCACCAACACCTGTGCCACATGCTGCCACCAGCTGGAGAGCCACCAAACGTGCCCAGGCCCTGCCCCCCACCCCCCCTGCCAGTCTGCTCCCCAAGGCCTCCCCCTTCTGTCTCTGGGGACAGAGCCTGAGCACAACTCCAGTTTGCCACTGCCCATGGTGCAGCTGAGCCAGGCTGGGATGGTTTTGGGAAACTCTAAACATGGGTTAAAAACAACCAGACTTCCTGCTGTTCCGGGGACGGAGTGAGGCGGCTGCCTGGGCAGGACCACCTAAACGAGGTTGTTTGCTGGCCCCTCCTGGCCCAGAGCCACGGACCACTCCCTCTCCTCCCTCCCCCAGCCCTCCTCCTCCTCCTCCTCCTCCTCCTCCTCCAAGATCCTCCCTCCCGCGCTCAGATACCAGCTAGCGCTTACTCCTCACATTCCTGAGAATCATAAATCCTAGGAGGCAGATCCCCAGAGAGACCTCTGCACCTCCTCCCCGAACCCCACCCACAGCGCCCACGGCTGGCGGGGCTTCCGCGGTTTTCTTAGAAGTCACACCGGACTGCAAGGGGAGGATGAAGTCCAGCCGCTGCAGTTAATGATACACATACCGGGGCTGGAGGGGGGCGCGGAGACGGCCCTGCCTGCCACCCCTCCTCCCCTCCCGTCCCCTCCCCGGGTCCCACCTGCTTCATCCCAGCTCGTCACCTCCCACGGGGCTGCGGAGGAAGCGGGCACCTCGGGGCAGGCTGGGAGCCGGATGGCTGAAGAGCCGGCCCCGGGATGGGCGGGGCCAGAGGTTTCCCAAAACACGGAGCAGCCGCCTCCAACCGAACAACGACAGAGGGACAAGGGGCCTGGGCCGCCCGCCCTCCTCCCTCCCTCCCTCCCACGTCCTAAGGCCAGAGAGCAAGTGGCAGAGAGAGCCGAGCCCGGTGCGGGGAAGGGGTGGGGGCGTGGGAAGCGGCCCCAAACCTGCCACCGCCCGAGCGCCCGGGAGGCGGGCGGAAGCAGCTTCCCCCGCGAGGATCGAGTTTCCAAAGACCCGGCGGGCGCGGGGCTGCGCGTCCGGGCGCCCGGGTCTCTCCCCGGCTCCCCTCTCCTCGCCCCGTGGCAGACTCAGGCTCCCCCTCCACACACACACACACACACACACACACACACACACACACACACACACACGCACACACACACACTCACCCGCTCGGGACGGCTCTGGTCGGACTCGCGGGGTTCCGGCGCGGCGGCCTGCGGCTCACTTTCGCCGCCTGCGCCCTTCGCCTCGACGGCGGCCGGCGGCTCGGCCTGCGCGGGCCCCTCCTGCGCGCGGAGCAGCTCCTCCCGGATCGGGACGCCCAGCTTCTGCAGCCGCTCGTCCGTGTCCGGGTCGACCACCAGCAGGCGCACGGCGCTGAGCGAGGCGCGGATGCGGCTCACCACCTGCTGGTGGGTCTCCTTCTCCACGTTCTCGCCGTTCACCTCCACCAGCCGGTCGCCCGCCAGCAGCCCCGCCGTCTCGGCCGGCGAGCCGGGCTCCACCAGCCGGATGAACTGGCCCAGCTTGCCCTTCTCCCCGTGCAGGTGGAAGCCGTAGCCGTTCGGACCCTTCTCCAGGCAGCAGAGCCGGGGCAGGGGCGGCCCGGCCGCCGCGTCCGCGCTCATCTCGCCCTGCGGCAGCGGCTCAGCGGTTCGACGCGGGGTCCTGAGACCGGACGACCCAGCCCTTTCCCCCCCGCAGACGAGGAGGCCGGAGGGAGGACTCTCCGCGCCGGCGGGACGAGCAGCAGGTGGTCCGCGGGAGGCAGCCGCGCACCTCCGGGAGCCCAACTGCGAGCGCGCAGACCAATCCCCGCCCGCGCGGCGTCTGAGCTTCCCAGCACCCGGCCCGACCCCTTCTCCTAGCGGGCGGGGCCGCGCCGCGGGTGTGGAGCACCCTGAGCCAATCAGAGGCCGCGGGCAGGGGGCGCTCTGGCCGGGTGAACTTCGCTGGCCAATGGGAACGCGCGGGGGCGGGACCCTGCGCTCGGCGCGGCCCTCGGTGGCGGGAGAAGAAAGAGGCTCAGGAAGTGGAAGTGTTTGTTACCAAGTGGCCGAGTGGAGGCGGGGGCGGGGCGGGCGGGTTCCCGGTCCTGGGCCGGAGGGCCCGCCGGCTCGGGTCTGATCTCTCCCACCCGTGGGTGGCGGGGGTTGAGGGGAGCTCATCCGGGACCCTAACGTTTGAAACAGCTTTTAGCAGCCAAAACCTGGGTGCAGCTTCAATTCAGGGGTTTAGGAGGGAGGGCGGGCGGGGGGGAGGGGGAGTCACTGTTGCTGGGGAAACCGATCCGGTTCCGGAACGAGGCTGCGAAGTCGCAGCGGTTTTACAAAAAAAAAAAAAAAAAAAAAGACCGTGATCCGCCTCGGACTCCACAGTTGTTTGAATAACAAGTCTTCGCTTGTGGAGTCACTTGTGCTGCCACCTGTTTATAGGTGCATGCTGTGGTCCTCCCTGGGGCGGCGTGAGGACTCAGGAGAAAGAGGGGCTTTGCCGACTGCCCACGGGGAGGCCGGCTGGGACAATGGCATGGGCACTGGCCTCGGCGCTTGACGGGAGCATTGGGGTGGAGGCAGGCAGAACAGACTCAGGTAACCAACGGCAGGGAAAGGAGCCCTGGCTTTCTTCAATAAAGGAAACATGATTAGGACCCTACGGTGATAAGCCTTCTTTCAGCTCCTCACCGAGGAGGGGCCGTCTGTGAAAGGGTGGGGTGACCAGCTGGGGCCACTGGAGCACCAGGATCAAATGATTTTGGCACTTGGGGGCGGTTCCTCCAATCAGCAGGAACCCTCCTTTCAACATGATCCCCGCTCCCCTGCGCATCTCAAAGAAGCCGTGGACAGGATGTACTTTCCAAAATACTGCAATTTAATTCTGAAAAAAACAAAGTGCCAGCGGCCCAGAGCAGCCCGATGACTGGATCCCCAGTGACCTGCCCTGGGCAAGGTCAGGCTCCTCCCTGCTCGGCCTGGGAGAGCTTCCTTATCAGGGCCCACGTCGGAGCTGCTGACTCCGCTCTCGGACCGCGAGATTTCTGCCTTGGAAGCAAACGCAGTGGCCTCAGACATGCCCGGTGCACACCTCATTCTCGCCCCAGAGCGAGGGCGCCTCTAGGTTGGGACCTGCGTGCCTCCTGCCCCCTTCCCGTTGCTGGGGTCAGGGCTTTGGGAGACGTGTGATTTGCTGTCCCTTTCCCCACCACAGCCTTCCCCACGCGACCTTGTGTCGCAGACATTCTGGTTAACCCAGACACGGGGGCCTCCCCTCCCCTAGCCTGTCTCAGGAGGAGGGGAGGGAGAGCAGTTCTGGCCCTGGGGCCTGTTTGAGAGGCAGCACTTGGGTTGGCACGTGGGGCGCGGTTTGCTCAGGTTTGCTTCCCACCTGCTCTGGCGTTAGGGGTTTCCCTCTCACCGGCCCTTTCCCCGGGAGAAGCACTGCAGCTGTAGCCTGCGGACTATTGGGATCTGAGAATCTACTCTCCCTCACTGCGACTGCAGGTGTGTGCAGCGGCACAGCGGAGAGGAAAGTCCGACCAGGGGTGCAGGGAGGCCCAGAGAATAGCAACCGAAGGCTCCGAGCGCCCCGTTGTGCTTGTGCACAGGAGGGGAAGGGCTGCGCCTCCTGGAGGGGGCTAAGGCCAGAGGTAGCCAAACAGACCCCGTCTCTGCTACTCCCCTCCCCCTGCCAGGCCGGGAGCCAGGCCCTGCCCAATCTCCACAGCTCTTATCTTCCCTGATAAGAGACAGGCTTTGGTCTAGCTCCCGGCACAACAGCCCATCTTCTGGGGGAGACTGGCCCCTGGGGAGCTGGAGGAAATGAAGTCTGGGGGCTGCTCAGCCTCTCCCCAGCTGCATTGAGGGTGGGAACAGGGTCCCTGCCTGCCCTCCCGCCCCACAAGCGCATGCTCCTTGGTAGCGAGCTGGAGCCGAGCGAGCGTTACTGCCTCGTCACCGCTAGGAGGGAGGCCCAGCCCCCGAGTCCTAGTATCTACCAGAAGGCTAAGGCCACCAGGTCCCTACCTTGGCTTTCTGGTACCCCTGTGTGTGTGTGTGTGTGTGTGTGTGTGTGTGTGTGTTGAATTATGTTTCACTAAAGTGAAATACAAATAGCTGACCCTCCCTGGCGATGCAGGGAAGCTACAGGAACTCAGGTAGGGGTGGGGGTACAGCCTCCAATTGGGAAGAGGCTGTGCACTCGGCCCCCAACTCTCTCTCCCCATTGGCTTAGCCGCTCAGAGTCAGCAGATCTTGGGGAGAAGGCTGCGTCCCTGCGGGCCCCGGGAACCGTCTCTCGGCCCCTCGGTTTCACAGGAAGGAGCAGCAGCCGGGCCGCTTCTTCTGGGACTCCACGTAGTCTCGGATCTGGAAGCTGGGCTCTCCGGCCTGCTGCCCGGCTCTGTACTTCAGCTCCCTTGAAGAGGAAGAGGCAACGGGCTGGGCAGCGAGCCAGCGGGGAGCACCCTCCCCTCTCCATGGCCGGCCCGCCGGGGGCAAAGGGACTTCCCAGTGCAGGTGCAGTGGGGGCTTCCTAGGTTCCCAGAGAACTCCCCCCCACCCCCGCCCCGCTCCCTGCCCCGCTCAGCTCTCACTTGGCAATGGCCAGGAAGGCCAGCTCCACATTCATGCCGGTCTTGGCGCTGGTCTCCAAGAAGGGAACTCCGTACTCCTGCCAGGGAGAGCGTGTCCTCAGGGCCAGCTTCTGGTTGCCCCCGCCCGTCACCCTGCCCACACGGCAGCCCCTTACCCTGGCCAGCGTCTCTCCGTCTTCTGAGCGAATCACCCTCTCACTGCTCACGTCTGCCTGCAAGCCCAGGCGGGTCACTCTGGGGAAGGAACCAGCCCGGCCCTCTCCTGCCCCTTCTGGCCCATCTGTTGCCCCAGGACCCTGGTTGGCAAACGGGCTCACGAGCCACACGTGGCTCTTTGGCCCCTTGAGTTTTTAGCAAAGGCCAGCGTAGGAGTACCCTAATTAAGTTGATAACAATGTACTTGTAATAACAATGTACTATATAGTTTAAGTTGAAAAAAGTTGGCTCTCAAAAGAAATTTCAATATTTGTACTTTTAATATTTGGCTCTGTTGACTAATGAGTTTGCCGACCACTGCCAGGAGTAGGCACTGTCCGCCCTCTGCTGGTGGCCTGTGGGTCTGCGGGCAGTATGATCGGCACTGGGCGGCAGGGTTTCCACCTGGTTCAGGAGGAGTTTCCCAGCGCCCTGGAATCTCCCTCCCTCTTGGGGAGGTGGGTAATGCTCCTTGGCAAGGCCGTGGAGACCCAGCCTCAGAGGGCTGAGAGTAGTTGGGGCTAAGCTTTCTGCTCTTGGCTCTGCATCCGGGACCCTGGTTACCATGACCTAATAGGGGCCAAGCAGCTGGGCAGCCTTGGATCTCACAAGCAGCAGCTGGCGCTTTCCCCACAAGGACCATCCCAAAGCGTAAGGAGGACAGAGAAGATGGGCTGAGCTGCCAGGACAGTCCGCCCCCTGAACCGGAGGCGGGGAAGAGTCCTTTGCTGGACGGATGGCCGGCTAACACTCGGGCAGTGATGAGGCTGGTCGCAGGGGAATGCTGTGGCAGTGGGAGAGGACGTGCAGGTGGGCTGGACCTGCCGTGGACCACTCACCTTGTTGCCTAGCAGCATGATCACCACATCCCTCTGGGCGTACTCATGAATCTCCGTGAGCCAGGCCTGTGGGAGAGGGTGAGCTGAGCCGGGTGCAGGCTGAGCACCAGCCAATCTTCCCCTCCCTTTTGCCCTTCCTTCGTCTGTCCTGTTTGATTATCCTGGGCTACTCACTGCCTCCTCCAGCCCTGATGCCCTATTCACTCTCATATCTGCATCCTTGTTCTGGCCTCTCCAGTCCTGCGTGGCTCAAACCCCAAACAGCGCGACTCCTATTTCCATAGAAATGGCAGAAGCTTGTCTCAGCAATCAGTTGGTAGCCACCAGCGATTTCCTATTGAGGATTCTATGGCCACATAAGGGCTCAGTGATAAAAAATACTATGATTGATTAGTAATGTCTGCCATGAGCATGGGGTTGGGAGTGACAGTATGAGTACCATTGTCTTTTTTTTTTTTTTTGAGTTTAGAGAGGGAGCAAAGGAGAGAGAGAGAGAGAGAGAGAGAGAGAGAGAGAGAGAGATATCAATTGGTTACCTCCCATATGCGCCTGACCCGGGGAGGAACCCGCAACCTACGTATGTGCCCTGACTAGGAATCAAACCCACGGTGTGCGGCAGGATGCTACAACTGACTGAGCCACACCAGCTGTTTTATATCTGTATGTCTTGTTCCCCACTTTGCTCGTCGGCCCCTTGAGGTCAGAGAGCATGGGGGACCTTTGCAGGGTTACCCTCGGGGTCAGTGCTTATATTTGGTGAGTGATCGCCTGCTTTCCTCAGTAGTGTGGCGGTGAGGACAGAGCCACGCCCTCTGTCTGCCTGGGTCACTGTCTTGCCGCTTGGACTAGGTGTGAGGACAGGCTTCTCTGCTGCTCTCCCCTGGGCCCCGTGGCTAATTGTCCAGGGCGGGGCTGGTTACTTTCTGAACTTGTGTCACGGCGCGAACGCATGAATCACCGTCGGGCTGAGCGTTGCCCGGTCTCCATGCCCACATGCCCATCGCATATACCCAGAGGCGGCTCATTGCGCCTGAGTCACAGCTCAGGTATGCTGCCAAGGCAGCCGTGTTCCGGGCCCCACTCCTCCCCCCCAGAGCAGGGGGCAGCCCTGAACTCCGCAGCCCCACCGTGGCTGCTCCGGGGGCGGACGGAGCGACCTACCCGGATGTTTTCGAAGGAGGCCTTGTTGGTGATGTCATACAGCAGGAGCAGGGCTGTGGGGGAGAGAGCGGTCACACGGGCCCGGGGCGGGGTCCCAGGGGGGCTGGGGAAGGAGGTGGCGTGCGTCAGGGCCTTACCTTGGGCATCTCGGTAGTAAGCGTGGGTGACACTGCGGAACCGCTCCTGCCCGGCGGTGTCCCAGATCTAGGAAGGGACGGGCACAGGGTCAGGAGGAGGCAGGCGCGGGGCGGTGGTGGGCAGAGGGCACCCGTGTTGTGGTGTGAAAGCTGTGTGGGTGGGAAGGCGGCACCCTGGCTCCTCTGCTTCTCACGGCTCCTGCACACCTGCTGACTCCTGCCTGTGACGGGGCCCGGGGCCTGAGGCTCACTCAGTGCTGTGGCCCCTTCCCCAGCACAGGGATGGGAGCCGGGAGGCAGGGAGGAGGGGCCGGGGAGGAGGGAGCAAGCCAAAGCTTGTCTGAGGCACTGGAGCTGCCTTTGCTAGAAGCGAGGGTGCCTGGGAGCTTTTGCTTTTGCTGCAGACATCAAAGGAGCAAGAGCCGCTGTTTCTTCTTTCGGCCCCACAGGAAGTTGCCCCAGGCTGAGGGCAGGGCCAGGGCCACAGCCTCCTGCGGTTCTGGTAAAGAGCAGGTTAGGCCCTCCGCCCCTCCTTTTCCTCCCCAGCCTCCCACCAGCCTTTCTCTCACCTGCAGCTTCACCCTCACGCCGTCCACGGTCACCACCTTGTTCTGAAAGGGAAAAGGCACACAGGTGGCTGGTGGGCAGGGCACCCCGGCTCCTGCAGATGCCCTCTGAGGACCGAGCGTCCGGTCCTGGTGGCTCCCCAGGATTGGAGGGGGGGCGGTGACCTCAGAGCTGGCCCAGCCTGATCACCCCATCAGGGCAGTGCGCCCCTGTTCCCCAGAGACTCCCCCTGAGGAGCCCTCTCTTCTCCGTCTGTGCTTCTCACAACACGTGGCTAAGGGGAGCCTGAGGCCTGAGAACTGGGGATCCCGTCCCTCCCCGACTTCCGCCTGCCTCTCCAGGAGCTGGGTCCCATCCTGCAACCAAGCTTAGAGAAGATGCCCCAGCATCCCGGGGACCTCCCCGCGCTGCCCCCCAATCCTCCTAAGTGGACTTCCTCTCCCCTCCTCCCCCCAGGAGGGGGCACCCCACCTCTGGTGGACCCCTGCCAGGGTGGGGCCCTCACTCCCCTGACCCTTTGGGTGAGCAGGGCTCAGAGGCCTCGGTGTCCCGATGCAGATTTGTGCAGAAGGACCCTGAAGGTGAGAGGAGGGCCCTGGCAGGCTGCTCTCTCCCCGCTGGGCCAGCCCAGCTCCTCCGCCTGGTGGGCCGTGCTGCCCGGAGGCCAGGAAAGCCTGGCGGAGGCCTCGCCCGGGGGCCCAGGCGAGGGGGCACCGAGCAAGGGGGTTGAGGGCAGGAAGCTGGGCTCACACTGTCGTGGCGTGTGTCTGCCCCACCGGGGGCTGAGCTTTAAGACTCAGTCTCTCCATGTTCGTAGTCTGCAGCGGGCAAGGGGCCAGGCCCGGCCTCCGCACACGGGTCCACTCTCTGGTCCCTTCCCTGGGGCAGCCCTGGTGCCCTCTGGGCTGTGAGCCACCGTCCTGCAGGCAGGACAGGGAGGACAGGGCAGTGCCCGGGCCTGAGCCGCAGCCCGGCTGGCTGCGGGAGGCAGAGCCTGTGGCCACCTCACCCTGAAGTCTATGCCGACGGTGGCTAGGAAGGTCCCGGACAGGAAGGCCCCGTCTTTGAATTGGATCAGGAAACAGGTTTTCCCGACGCCCGAGTCTCCCAGAAGCATCACCTAGGAGATGGGGGCAGAGGCAGTTAATGGGGAGCTGGGGCGCAATTCTGGGCTTCCAGCGAGAGAAGCCCCCGGACTGAGGGCAGAGGGCGAGGGGAGGATGCTGGCATGGCGGGGGGGAGCATCTGCTGCTGGAAGCCCGCCTCTTCCCTCCACGCTCTGCCTCTTGGCTCTCCCTCTGACCTGGGTCCTCACCCACCCAGCGTTCTGGAAGCTTGCGCTGAGACCTCAGCACCATCGGGTCCCCAGATGTGTCCCCGGCCCTGGAATCTCCCCATTTGTCTCAGACACGTCTGCCCTGCCCCACGGGCCCACATCCCTCGCACAGCGTGTTCCAGCTGTGCCTGAGCGCATGCATGGGCAGAGAAGCACGCAATAAACATTAAAAAAAAAATCAGGAAGTGTTAATACTTGGGACAAGATTCCCAGCCAAGGGAGGTGTCAGCCTCTGCTGGGGGCGGGGACACCCCTTTTGCAAAGGCCCGTTCTCAAGTTACTATGGTTTTGGTCACCACATGTATTTGGAAGTTTCTGATGATGTGACATGTTGTTTTTTTTCTTTTCTTTATTTGATGTTACATGTTTATAAAAAGGTTGCATGGCCTGGCCAGTGTGGCTCAGTGGTTGAGGATCAACCCATGAACCAAGAGGTCATTGGTTTGCTTACTGGTCAGGGCACATGCCCAGGTTCCAGGCTGGATTCCTGGTAAGGGAGGTGCTATAGGCAACCAGTCGATGTTTCTCTCTCATCAATGTTTCTTTTCTTTCTTTTTTTTTTTTTTTTAAAAAAAATATATTTTATTGATTTTTCACAGAGAGAAGAGAGAGGGATAGAGAGTTAGAAACATCGATGAGAGAGAATCATCGATCAGCTGCCTCTTGCACACCCCCTACTGGGGATGTGCCCGCAACCAAGATACATGCCCTTGACTGGAATCGAACCCGGGACCTTTCAGTCCGCAGGCCGACGCTCTATCCACTGAGCCAAACTGGACCCGGCTCATCAATGTTTCTCTTTCTCTTTCTCCCGTCCTCTCTCTTTAAAATTAAAAAAAATTAAAAAAAAAATACATTGCAGTGGGGAGACATTCAGTCTGAAGTTCTTTCAGCCAAAACCTCAAAGTGGGACAAATGGCCACAAACTGGGTCACTGGAGGGCAGGGAGTGTGGGCCAAGGGGTGTGTCCGCCCCTTTATCGCTGGCCCAGTCTCCGCTGGGGAGCAAAGGGGTCGGGAGGCAGCCTCCTGTCAGGATACGCCTCCATCGTGGAGAACAGAGGTCTGGGCCTCAGCTGGAACTTTCCCAGCAGGCCCATTAGAGGCTAATGGGTTGGAGAAGGACGAGGCCCGCGTCCTTCTTGAGGTCTGACCTTGACAGAGGCTTTCCTGCTGTGCACGTGGGACATGGGGATGCGCTGACTCTGCAGGGAGGGAAGGGGCTGAGCCGAAGGCGGATGAAGGCCGGGGTCCTGGCTTGGGAAGGGGCTTTGGAAAGATCCCTGGCCTGTGGCATGGCGCCCACAGTGGCCAGGAGGATGGAGGGGGACTTCCTTTGAGGCCTTTCTAGAGCCTGGTAAGGGCCAGGACCAATCATGTTGCATGAACCACCCAAGACTTCCAAAGAGTGGGTGCAGGTGAGTATTGCCTGCTGCACCCCCCTTCTAAGGCAGCCCCGGGGGCTCCTGCCAGGCTGTCCTGGACCTAGTCTCCTGGGCAGGCCTGCAGGCTGGTGGAGCCGCTTGGCCCGGGGACAGATGGAGACCTGGGAGCCCTCTGTAGGCATCCCCCAAGGAGGAGAGGAGAGCGAGCGCCTGTGTGCTTTACAGACTGCAGCTGCCCTGAGCCAACGCTGCCAGCCACCTACACTAAACACAAACAGCTGCCCAACCTGGCCACCTCCTGGGGCCTAGGCCCGTGGTCGGCAAACTGCGGCTCGCAAGCCACATACGGCTCTTTGGCCCCTTGAGTGTGGCTCTTCCACCAAATACCACGGCCTGGGTGAGTCTGTTTTGAAGAAGTGGCATTAGAAGTTTAAAAGTTTAAAAAACGTGGCTCTCAAAAGAAGTTTCAGTCGTTGTCCTATTGATATTTGGCTCTGTGGACTAATGAGTTTGCCGACCATGGTCCTAGGCAAACAGCTCATTGGCTTGTCCTGCAAGGAGGTCACGTCCCCCCCCACCCCCAAGCCTGGGGCTGGCTCTCCCAGCTGCCCTCCCACCGAAGGCCCAGGGGCCCATTTCCTGCCACGAGCCCACACAGGACGCCTATCTCAACGGCTCCGGGCGGGTGACTTGCGGAGTGGCTTCCCCTGAAACCGTGGGGGTGGAGGCCCCAGCTCCTGGCTAGAGTGAGCCCCGCATGGGGGGAGGAAACCAAGGCACAGAAAGAGGGGTCTCTTCCAAGGCCGTGCATCCCGAGACCAGACACCCGCCTCGCCCACTTGGCGGCGGGCCTGGGAGGCTGAGTGCCCTTCGCATCTCTTCCAGAGGCCCTGGTACCTGCTGCTCCCAGGGCCTGGCAGAAGGGCACCCAGACCAGTGTCCATGGCCACCTTCACCTGCTGTGCACGGGCCACCCTGAGCCCAGAGAGCAGCCTGGGCTCTCCCAGGTGGGGCCGTGAGCATCACTGAGCTCTCACTTAGGCTCTAACACCCCCAGGTGGCCTGCGTCCTGGGAGGAGGTGCGAGGCAGCAGCAGGAAGGGAAGAGGCAGAACTTGGGGGCGGCTGGAGTTTGGGGCCTAAGGAACCCCTGTCAAGTCTCAGCTGAGATCTTAGCTGGGAAAAGGGCATTCACCCCGTTGCTCGTCGCCAGGGGCCGGCTTCTCTGGGTGTCTGGGCACCCAGGGCGGGTGCCTGCGTCCAGGAAAGCCAACCCTTAGCCAGGAACATGGGGGTCCCCGGGGGCTCAGCCGGGGTGGCAGGAGAAAGTTGGGGGAGTCACTTCCCAGCTTCCTCTCCCGGGGCCTGGGCACAGCCCCCCAGACACCTAGAAGTTGGGATGGGCCTAGCGGCCGTGTCTCGACCCTCTCTCTCTCTCCGGACCCCGGCGCCTGGCTGGGGGGAAGGACTGAGCAGCCAGCAAGGCGCAGGGGCCCGGGAGCCCCAGGGTCTCAGGTTGGAGGGCGCGGGGAGGGGTGGCCTCAGTACCCGCACGGGAGTCCCCAGCGCGGGACGCAGTGCGCACCCACCTTGAGCGCGAGGTCGTAGCTCGGGCTGCAGGGCGGCGAGCGCTCGGGGGCGTCGCCATCCCGGGTGGCGGCGGCGCCAGGCGTGCCCGTCATGTTCCCGGAGCGGAGCGGAGCGGGGCCGCGGCGCACCGGGCAGGGACAGCTCCACCCTCGCTCCACCCACTCCTTCTGCCCCCCGCCCCCCCGCCAGGCTCCGCCCTCTGCCCCCGCCAACCCGCACACCCGCCAGGGGGAGCGCCCGAGGGGCAGCGGGACCCCGAAGCAACGTTGAAGGATGTCAAATCCACCCCTAGGACGGGGTTCCCAAAGCCGCCAGCCGTCGGGGTTCAGTTCCCACGGGTAGCGGGAAGGTCTGGCATCCTTGGGGCCCGCGCACCGGCGCCGGGGTTTCCGCTGTCGCTGCGCAGCGCGGCCAGCAGGCGGCGCCCGAGCCTCGCCAGCAGGCGGTCCACAGGTGGCCCCGGGTGCGGGGTCGGGGAGAGGATGGGGCGCCCTGGACCTGCGCGGTGCTGGGTTGGAGAGAGGGTGTACGTCCAGAGGAAGTAGCGCAGGCAGCCTCACGGTTACTGACGCAGCCCAGCCCGAGCTCGCGTGATTATAATTTTAGTTACTGACCGATATGCACTTTGCAGACCGATATGCACTTTGCAGACAGATATGCACCTTGCAGCACACAGGCCCTCGTTGGTTGGTGCTTGAACTTTGACCCTTAGTGTGGAGCGCCTCTCATTTCTCCCTCACCTGTTGGGCTGCGTCCAGAAGGTCCCATCACGGGCCCTCCCTGCCCTGAGAGGTGGGCTGGTATGCCCGGCCGGTTCTGAGGGCCTCCCCTCCCCGCCCCTTTGCCCTCAGACCCTGGGACTCCCCGGATGCAGTGCCTTTGTGGCTGTGTCTAAGCTGGCGCTCCTGCAGGCAGGGCTCTGGCCTTCCCACGTGGCCCTCCACCTCTGACAATTAGGAGGCCCTGAACCTTTGGTATCGGACGAATTGATGAAGCTGTGAAGTGTTTTGAGCAGAGTCTCCGGGACATCCCTGGAAGGCCTGTCCTGTCTCAGGCAGCGTCCGGCTCTCAACGGAACCACATACCTCCTTCCTTCTCCCAGGCGGGGGCAAAGCGTGGAGGCCCCACCTGCGCATCTGTGGAGCGTGAATGAGAGTCTGTGCACCCGTGGCCACACCCATGCCCAGCCACACTCTGCCCTCTGAGTCTGACCGGTGGGAAGAGGGCGGGGTATGGAGTGTGACTATGAGGGCATCGTGTGCCCTGTGTGCTGAGGGGGCAGGCGGGGCATGTGCCCGGGGTGGGGGACGCCCAGCACCCGACAGCCTGGTTCCCGTGGTGGAAGGCCCCAGGCGCTGTCAGCATAGCCCCATCCTCCTGGATTCCGCCCTGCGCTCCGGAGCCCAGCTGCTCCCAGTGGCAGGGAGCTGAGGGCACTGGTGTGTCAGGTTGGATTCTGGGCTCCGCACGGGGCTGAGCTCCCGTTTCAGCCTCACTCGGAAGCCCTGGCCTTCCTCCCCGTGGCCCGGACGTCCGAGGTTCCCCTGCGTCCGAGCGTCCGAGGTTCCCCTGTCTCTTTCCACAAGCGTGACTGCTGGTCCCAGCTGCGTAGCCTCAGGCTGTACGCTGTGGTCCCAGAGGCTGGCCTCCCAAACACCCATGCCGCCAAGCAATTCCACGTGCTCCTCCCGGGACCCAGAGACCCCCAAGAAGGGCCTGCAGCTCCTGAGGATAGTCCAAGCCCAGAGCCAGTCCCCCCCAGAGGCCTTCCCAGGATCAGGGTTACTGAGAGCCCCAGTCCCGGTGAGAGTGGACAGCGGGCAAGGGCTGGAGGGAGGCCTTCTGGGCGCACGAGGGGCTGCGGGTTGGGAGCACTTCCCTAACCTGCGCTGCCCCCGTGCTGTGTCCAGGGAGAGACTAAGTGCTAAAAAGAACTTTAACCTTTGCCCTCCCAGCGCCCTAGGACCACAATGCCAGGGCTGGGCTGATTTTTATCATTTTAAGCCACACCTTTGCCTCTCAGGTTCTTATTGCCTGGGGAGGTGCGCATGAGTCATCTGTAGCAACACGTGTCCTTGTTTTTCCGGCTTCCGGTTGTGTGCCGTCAATGGGGAGCCTCATAGGACTGGGGGGAGCAGGAGGAGGGCAGTGTGTGGGGAGGGTTACTGGGCTTTGCTGGTTTCCTCCACTGATGGTCACACTCCTGCCCGCCACCCCCTGCACGCAGCCCTCTTGGTCCCTGGGTCTGTGCTGGTTCCCTGCTCTCAGCTCTCTTAGGCTGGGGAGTGGGTCGGGATGGAAGCCCAGTAACAACCCCAAACACTGCTCCATCCCTCCTGGCTTCCCAGCTCCTCCCTACGCCTTGGTCAATGGTCTGTTTATTAAACCTCCTGGAAAGATCCAATGTGAGTGACCACCTGCTTCCTGCTGGGACCCTGACAGCCAACAGGGGCCCCGGGGCGGGGAGCACTCACCGTGAATCCGATGCCCACAGTGGCCGAGAAGGAGCCGGGGATGAACTTGCCCTGGTCGAACTGGACCAGCAGAGATGTCTTCCCCACGCCGCTGTCGCCCACCAGGATGGTCTGCAGGGAAAAGGAGAGGCGGGAGCTGCAGTGTGATGTACGTTTCTGAGATGGTGTTGTGGCTGGGACGTGTGTGCACATACAAAACCCACACACAGACATATTCACACAGATGAACACAGATGCTCACAGGGACAGAGGGTATGCACATACATACAACATGTACAGAGACACACTCTTACACGCAGATACACATAGATAGGGTGCACACACACACACACAGAGACACACTCATACACACAGATGCACAGTCGCTGAAGAAGGCAGGAAAGCATGGAGGGAATGTTGTTTCACCCCAAGTTAAGAAACATCTAAGGTGCTGAAACCGGTTTGGCTCTGGATAGAGCGTCAGCCTGCGGACTGAAAGGTCCCAGGTTTGATTCCGGTCAGGGGCATGTACATTGGTTGTGGGCACATCCCCAGTAGGGGGCGTTCAGGAGGCAGCTGACCAATGTTTCTCTCATTGATGTTTCTAGCTCTCTATCCCTCTCCCTTCCTCTCTGTAAAAATTTAACAAAATATATATTTTTAAAGAGTCTATTAAACAACAACAAACACACACACACACACACACACACACACACACACACACACACACACACAAAGAAAAAAATCTGAGGTGACCAGGAGAAGTTGCCTCTCAGGCTCCTAACCTCAGGGGCATAACTGCCCGCTACCTCCCCCCCCCCCCCCCCCCCGGCCCTGCAATCCACCATTGGTGTGTTTGCACGGAGGCCACTTCACACAGGCGATACAGCCAAAGGCGGAGCGGGGCAGGGACTCAGAGGCAGGTTTGTTTCTGGGGATACAGGACCCCCTCGTGACTGCTTTTGGCCTGGAACCCCCTCATGATTTTATAGAACCGTCCGGAGACTGCCTGGCGGCCTCTGTCCTTCACTTGGGGTCAGACCATGGTCTGAAGGCTCTCTCTGCCTCTCCTGGTTTCTCCCTGGTGTTTCCCCTAACACAGTCCCTGCACAGTGAGTTCCCTTTCCACCCTGCTTCCTGGGAGATCTGGACTGGCACAACGACCCTCAGTAAGGGGAAGTCTAAAACAAGAGTGTACAGCCCTAGCCAGTTTGGCTCAATGAATAGAGTGTTGGCCTTTGGACTGAAAGGTCCCAGGTTCGATTCCAGTCAAGGGCACTTGCCTGGGTTGCGGGGCTTGATCCCCAATAGGGGGCATGTAAGGAGGCAGCCAATCAATGATTCTTTACCATCATTGTCACCCCATGCAGCCTGCTGTTCAGAGGTTTCTATCTTTCTCTCCCTCTCCCTTCCTCTCTGAAATCAATAAAAAAATTTATATATATAAAAAATCAACAAGAGTGTACAGGGACGATCAACATGTCAGGCCATATGCCGCGGGAAGAAAGAGTTTGCACTTGGCCCTGGCACGAGAACATCTCAAAGAGAAGCAGAGTGTGGGAAAAGGGGGAAGGACACATTGTACTGGGAGGAAGAAGGGGAGAGAATTAGCGTGGAAGTTCAGGTGCTAAATAATTAATAAACAACAGTACAAGAATAAACTCTGGTCCTAGCCAGTTTGGCTCAGTGGATGGAGCATTGGCCTGTAGACCAAAGGGTCCCAGGTTTGATTTTGGTCCAGAGCATGTACCTCAGTTGCAGGCTCCTCCCCGGCCCAGGCTCTGTGCAGGAGGCAACCAATTGATGTTTCTCTCACATCAGTATTTCCCTCGCTTTTCCATTCTTTCTAAAAATCAATAGGAAAATATCCTCAGGTGAGGACTAAAAGAAAAGAATAAACTCTGTGTTTTGTGTACTCACAACTGTAAACCTACTTTTGCCCCACCCTGTACACACACCCAAGGGCTGGTACCCAGCAGTCTCTCAGTGGGTGAATGAAGGGACAAGTACCGTAAATGAGTGGATAAATGCCTTAGTTTCAAAATGGACAACAGTTACTTTACAAGGCCAGCATTCAGGGGAAGAATAACAATGCACTAAATATAGTTCATTCATTTTCCATCAGTTATTTACTGAGCAACTACTATGTGCCAATGTGGTTTTAGCCACAGGGGATACAGCCCTATCATCCAGAGTGGGAGAGATGAGACTAACGGGGCTCTGTCACCTATGGACAGATTGGGTTCTGATAGCAGATGAGCTGTAGTAGGCAAGTCTACACTGACCAAGAGGGATGTGGGCTTGCAGTTGCTGTATGCATTTCCACCAAGATAAATATCTTGACAATATTTGTTTATCAGACATCTTTCCCCAAAGTTGACAACAAAAATCTATTGAGTAATGAGTGACATGAACTCATGTGACACCTCAGTGACTCTGCTTGATTTCTGAAATAATCATGCATTTCGTCAGGAAGAGATAAAAGATGTTAAAAGTGATTATTTTGGGGTGGTGAGATAAGAGGCAAATAAAACTTTTTTTTAACCTTATCTGTGTTTTCACAATTTTAAAAAAATCTCTCAATTTGTTTATGTGATGTATCTCGTTTATTGATTTGCGAATACTGTACTATCCTTGCATTCCTGGGATAAATCCTACTTGGTCATGGTATATGATCTTTCTGATGCAATGCTGGATCCAATTTGCTAGAATTTTGTTGAGGATTTTGGCATCTATGTTCACGAGGGATATTGGCCTGTAGTTCTCTTTCTTTGTGTTGTCTTTATCTGGTTTTGGTATTAGGGTGATGCTAGCTTCCTAGAATGACTTGCAAGTGTTCCTTCCTCTTGAATTTTTTGGAGTAGTTTGAGGAGGATAAGTTTTAGTTCTTTTAATGTTTGGTAAAACTCCCCTGTGAAGCTGTCTGGCCCCGGGCTTTTGTTTGCTGGAAGCTTTTTGATGACTGCTTCAATTTCCTCCATAGTTATCGGTCTATTGAGATTTTTAGATTCTTCCTGGTTGAGTTTTGGGAGGTTGTATTTTTCTAGGAATGTGTCCATTTCCTCTAGGTTTGTTGGAATAGAGTTGTTCATAGTGCGTTTCACAATTTATCTTCCTAACATGAACATGGATTGCTTTTGTAATTTAGACCAACTTCTTGTTTTGAATCACAAGCCACAGATGGTTCTAGTGGTCTAAGTGATACAACTGTATTTAGATAATTAGCTAGAGTTTGTTTTTTCACAGTGTAAAATTTTTATTTTAAGAATTAGGCAATGGACTCGGGATAGATGACCCCAATTTTGTTGTCAACATCCAAAGCATCGTAGCCAAGAGCCAGTCGAACATATGCCTTCTTCTCGCCATCAGGCCTGATCAGTGTTGACCTTGGCCACATCAATGTCCTAGAGCTTCTTCACAGCCTGTTTGACCTGGTGCTTGTTGGCCTTGACATCCACAAGGAACACAGTGTCTTGCTGTCTTCTAAGTTCTCCATGGCTGACCCAGTAGTCGGGGAGTTTGATGGTGGCACAGTGGGCAAGCCCAGGAAAATCTGGGAATACATAATCCCCTACACAAAGAAGTTGGTTCTTGTAACTATTGGCTCTTGTTGCTCTAGGCTTCCTTGCATTCGCCTATATGGCCCATCCCTTCTTTTATGTGGGATCCACATGCAATGGACTGATGGGTGCAGGGGGAGCGCGAGCTAAGCCTGCCTGACTCTGAACTGCACTGCATGCACCCTGGAAACCTGGACACCAGCCTGAGGGAAGCCACAGCTATGCCTCTTCCTTGGTGGGACAAAGGGAAATGAGACCTTGGAAACTCTGGGAGTTAATTCCATGCAAATAAAAACCACTCATTCTCCCACACAAGTCTCAGAAAATGCCTTTTCTTGGGATATTGTTAAAAAAAAAAAATCCACTCCCATGAGCAATGAGGGGAGACGAGGACCTCTCCCCACCGGTAACACAAGGTCTGTTCTCTTCTGAACCACATCTGAGACAGAGGTGTGGGTGGGGGTCATCCTTAAGGAGCTGGGAGGGGAAGTTAAAGGGGCAGAGAGCAGCTGGGTGGATGGAAGCCAGGGGCAGCTGAAGGGGTTCAGAGTGGAGGCGGCTGCTGGGTCTAGGGGCGAGACTAGGTTTGGTAGGGTCTTCTCTACAGTTTCTGTTGCCACAAGAAGGCTGCAATGAACCGCCCTAAACACAGGGGCACAGAGTGAGTCTGTGAGTGAGCAGTTGGATCTGGGTGGTGCTTCTGGGCTCGGGCGGGCTCCCTTGGGTGTTGAGGGTTGGCTGGCTGCTGTCTGGGGCAGCTTGGCTCTGCTCCACATGTGTCTTTCTCCACCCAATGCTAGCACTAGCCGTGCTTCATCACGGCAGAGGAAGAGGTGAATGAGAGCAAGAGGGAACGCAGGAGGCCTCCGCGAGCTGAGTCTGCCACTGGTGCACCGTTACTTCTGCTGGGTTTCCTTGGGAAAGTAGGTCACAAGTCTGGTCCAGGCTCAAGGATGGGATGGGGGTGCGGCGGGGAGGGGATAGAACCCCACTTCGGTGAGAACAAAGGTGGAGTAAAGAGCAGAGGGTGGGGCCGTCTATCACGGGTCTGACGCCTACACAATGATGAGGCCACTTTTTAGGAAAGAGGACCTCCATCGTGAACACAACGTTGGGTACAGGGCTGTGAAAGGAGCCGATCCGGTGAGGGTGCTGCCGGTTAAGCTCCATCAGCCTCAGGGCACACCTGCCTCTTCCTCACTTTCGCAGAGAAGGGGGCAGCTTGAAGGCCCAAGGAGCAGAGCTGAGAGGGGGCGTCACACACATGCACGCACACAGACACGTAGGTGCGCACAGACATGTAGTGAGGAGGACACTCAGATGGCCTGTTCCATCCCTTCTTTTATGTGGGACCCTGGGAGCCGGTGGAGGTCACTGACTCTGGTGGAAGTCGATGGCCAAGCCCGAACTAGGGCTGCAAGGGGTCTCTGAGGACACAGTCGTCCCCCCCCCCTCCCCCCCCCGTAGAGCCCGCTTCTCCTGGAGTCCCCAGAGGCACTTGTTTAGAGGAGCACATTTGAGATGACCAGATAATAATCCCGGCTCTGGACTCCAAGGGCGGCCTCCTGGGGT